AATCCAAATCTGAAATTTTGATTATTTCTCTTTCCCTTTCGAGTAATCTCACCTCCAATTCCCCAGATTTTGATTCAAAATCCATTGCCAATTCCTTAGATCTCTCTCTCCGATCTTCGATTTCGAATGTCAGAAGGCTACGCGATCGAGCTCTACTTCGACCCAGCGCTTGAAAACCAAGTTTTGAAAGCTTGGAACGTCTTCGCTCGTCGTCAAATCAGTACAAAATTGATCAACAACGAGTCTCGTCCACACATAACCTTATTCTCCACCATCTTCTTCGATTCAACGAAGCTCGAATCTGTCGTCAAAACCTTCGTATCAAAGCAAGAACCACTCTCGATCTCGCTCTCTACCATCGGAACCTTCTCGAGCGATAACAACGTACTGTTCCTCTCGCCGACACCGTCCTTGTCGCTGCTTCAATTACAGTCTCAGTTATGCGACGCGATTAAGAAAGAAGGTGTTGAGATTGGGGAAGAGTATCGTGTCGATTCGTGGGTTCCGTTTTGTCCTGTGGCTCTTGATGTACCTAAGTCACGTATGGCTGAGGGTTTCTCGGTGTTGAGGGATTTGAAGCTTCCGGTGAATGGTTACGGTATGGAGATTGGTCTTGTTGAGTTTTCTCCTGTTCGTGAAGTCTTCTCATTTCCTCTTGGTAACAACAATTTGGAGTCTTGATCATTTATAATAAATGTTACATCTTTTTGTGTGTTTGGTTTTGATGTAATTTCCTCTGAGTAGAGAGTGTATGAATGTTGAACACTAAATTTCTTAAAGGAGTAGTTGAAGAATTACTATTTAACAATCTCTTTGTGGACAAAAGCAAAGAAACCAGTTCATGTGTGGGAAAATTACTTCACTGTCAAGCTTTTCTTCGATATGTATTCGATATGACGATTGCTAGAGTTAAGAGTATAGAATACAATGGAAGCATTGTCTTGTAGTTTGGTTTGGTGAAGAAGTTAGTTGTTTACCTTTCTGGTTATGTACTGTTGAACTTTTTGGTTATGTCAAATTTGTTTCTATATCATCAACTTTGAATTTATGCACTTTGGTAAATTGTTTTGAGATAAGTTCCAAACTTCCCATGATTTGTGTTTCATGTCTTCGCATGAACACGAAAAATGGTGGAAAGTGTTATTCCTCTACAGTTTTCTTGCAGGCTATCTATGTGATCAGGGAGTAAATCAATGAATACATGAGAAACAAATTCCAGGTATGTGCAGTTTTTATGTCTTGTAAATATGTGTCTGATCTCTTTGTAACACATATAACTAAACCTTGCAAATGATAGACGTTATCGATAAGAAAAGTAGGAATGATTCTACTTTTGATGTTTGTATCCTCAAGGTAACCTGAGTTGTTTAAGTAGCACCATGAGAAACTCGCTCCAGGTATCGATTGGTCCAGGCAAACACCAGTGAGTACAGTCATTGAAACCACTCATCCATTTATTTCCCCAGTCAGAATTCGGGTGCCCGTCTGGTCTCATTAGCATAACCTTAGTCACATCCAAAACCGCAAACTTCTTTTTATTTAAGCTGTCACGTTTTATCTCTTCAAGCTCTTGTATCTGAGATGTCCTGATTTCCATATCGTTACTGTGCAGGTTGATTTCATTTACCCTAAAAGGATGCTCTCTCCCGCAAGCTCCTCCAGTGTTCCAAGTCCCATTCTCAAAATGGGAAGGCGAAAACGTCCTCAGAACCGTCACTAAGTTGTCTTTACAGTTACGACATGCATTGATGTGCTTAAAGGCAGCTGAAAAAACCAGCTTCAACCCTTCTTTCAGGCTAATCTGAGTCGTGTTTCGTAAGTAACAGAAGATGCAACCAAGTGTCTCATCTCCTCTATTTATGTATATTGGCCTGAATAACCAATGACCAGCCGAGACAACGGCAATGTCTGTATTTGGCAGATCTTTCGCCCATTGCTCGTCGATCTTATCAATGTCGAGATAAAAAATTCCTGTTCCGGTCTTGTTCGCGTATGTCCTCTCGGATCCCGCCACTAGAAACTTGGTCCATGAGGTAGATAGAGTGAAGTCATGTTCTGGAAAGTACCATATCCTGTTTCTGTCTTCTGCATCCTTGTAGATATCTTTAGGAGTTTCTTCCTACACAAAGCCAAAAAAAAAGGAGATTTCATAGGTCACAAACTTAAGGACTTATGTCACAAGATCTTCTTTAAACAGTTTTTTTACCATTGACAAGAGGCAGAGGAGAGATTCCATGTGGTTTCTGGCTAAAGAATCGCCAACAAAATTCATCTTTTTGCCTCGAACAAGATCGAGAAAAGATTTGGGATTGAATCTCGGAAGATCACAGTTTTCGGGTTTCCATCTCCAGAGCAAAAAATCGCTGTTTGGTCTCCCATTGTTTAAGCAATTCTTTGAATGAGGTATTGTAAGACAGGTCGAATTCGTGTACAGAGATCCTTGTGGGTCTGGAACCCAGTGTCCTTTAGACAAGTCACAGTCCTTAAAATCTAACCCAACAACAACAATAAGTAATAGACAGTTAAATTAAGCTTGTGAAAATTTCTAGATATATTTATATGGTGTTGAACGGCAACAATTTTATTTTTTTATTACAAAGCTCAAAAACATTGTCTCACACCCAATAATAATCTTTTAAAGATTTTGCATTCGTAAAATCTAAGAAAATGTTTTACCTTCGCATTTGTAGTAGAAAGTGTAAAACCTATACTGATTTTAATTCAATCCCAAAAACTAAAAAAAAAAACGAACAAGTTATTGGTTTTTATTGTGGTCACAACCGGAGTTTAAATTCACATAATACATCTTGTTGATTAAGAAAAACCTAAACCAAAGAGTCTACACCTCCATCCATTCAAGGTCATGCTTTATGATTTATGAAGAAAACTCTCTGATTTTCGTTTGTTTGTAAGACTTACCGATCTGAGGTTCGACGTAGGGAACATTGTGATCGTTGATGGGGTTGTAAGGATTCCGAGGAAAGAAGAGGAGAGTGGTGGATAATATAGTTACACAAAACAAAGGATATAGTGCCAATCTTCTTATGGTTGTCATTTTCTTGAAATTTTCCCGGAAAATCGACGAACTCATTGTTGCATGTCGATAGTTATCCAAAAAGATATCACCATATAGATGAACACCTATTTAATATACACGTACATAAAGAGGATTTATTCCTTATTTTGTTTGGTTTATCAAGTGGAAAAGTTGAAATAGAAAAAAATCTAGAGATAAATGAAGAGAAAATGGATTTTCATTAATTGTTCTTCTCCACCTATATATATATACATTCGTCTAATGAGAGAACAATTTTTTTTTAAAGGAAAATAGTTATGAATAATAAGCTCTGTATGTTTGGAAAAGGGACATGCTTTCATGTTTGGTTACGAAACATTGTGTTCTTTTATGATGTACAAATACGTACTACTTTATAACTAAAAGTATATATTTACTAGATTCTCAAATGAGTCTAAATAATTTTGATGTTGATAGATACATTGAGTCTAAATATTCTCTAAATAAATAGACTGAGAGAAACAATATTTTCAAAAACGTAAACTATGGGTCTAAATGGTAACGGCTGAATCCGACTGAATTGCGGAATTTGGCTGAATTTTTAGTGATTTTTTACGGAATCTGGCAGAATAACTTAAAGTTCAAATGGTAACGGCTGAATCTGGCAGAAT